GGATTGCCATTACTTTAGATCCAAAAATTGTTTACATGTATGTATGTTTACATGTATATATCTGAACATGGATTAAGTTTGGTTTTTCTTTTGCTGTGCCGTATGGGTCACTTTGAGAAAGATATTTGGTATCTGTGGATTGCCAACACCTGTAACTCAATCAATTTTGTGCTTGTCCATATAACTCTGCTTTGTAACAGTTGCTACTCACCACAGCTACTATTATGCCATAAGATCCACTGTCCTGTAATATCACATATGGTATGTATAGTTATTTATGGTTTTATATTATTTTTGCTGTAAAATATGTGAAATCGTTATATTGTATTTATTTGCATTTCTTAGAGCTTTAAGTACTGATGAAGCCCAGGATGGTGAAACAAGGCCAATATTCCGGAAATCCTTGTCTAGACTTTGTGTAAGGATTTCATGGAACTGTAACAACCTTTCATGTGAATTTTTGGGCCTTACGAACAGACAGATGGAATAGACACCAATACAGGGATGGACCTTATGCATGAACTGACTAAAGAATGATCCTATCCACTAGGTCTTCTGCTTTGTTCGTTTGTTGAACTTTATGAGTTACTTCCGTTGAAATTTATAATTTGAAACTATGAATAGTATACCTTATTTATCTAAGAACACAGCCGGTTACGTCTCGTTTGCAGAGTTGGAGGCAGCAGTGCTTCTGGTTTCTGGAAATCACTTGAGGAGAGAGCGCTCCTGCAGTGGCATAGGAAGGGGCATGTGGTGGGTGCAGGAGTTATTTTTTCAAAAACACATATTTTTGCCATTTTTTCACACACACACCCTCAGTGATGACACGTGGGGCGGCCCGCACCCACCACACACCCCTTCCTACACCACTGCCCCTGGCTGGCACTTTGCAAATCTGAAGCAAGCCCTCCGGGTTTGACAGGGCCCTGCCTCCTCCTCTCTTCTTTCACTTCAGAGAAGCACTAACCAACCCTAGATGCACCAACCAAATTCTCCCTTTAGCATTAAGTAAAAACTTCCACTGGGTTGGGTCTGGGATTTGCAGCTTGAGGCAACAGCTCAGCAGGAGTGCGCCTGTTAATGCCATTTTGCGGCAAGCGAGGGAATGAAACTCTTTAGAAGACCATGATCAGGAGACGTCCTTAAAATAACAATTGAATTAGGCTTAATTCATTCCACTTAATTCCCTAATAATGCCTTTAGCAAAATTAGACTATCAGTACTCCCAAGAAGGGGGCTGGGAAACTGCAGTAGCTAACCAGCCGCACTAGCAGAGTCCTGGTGGAAATGGAGCTCATGTGAGAATGGAGCACGGAATCTAAGCAGGAACTCTCAAGTGTCTGGCTGCATTTGAGCCCCAGTCTTATCAGCCATAATTCATTAAATATATATACTATAGAACTCCATTCACCCGATTGTGATTTGGGTGTGATTCTTATGCCCAAATATATGAAAATGTCATTTTGTAAACAGAAAAGAATGCAGCCTTGCAGTTAGTTGCTTGCTCATCCACCAAAGAAAATTGGTGAGGCTGTGGCCTCAGGATGTCCCCCCCCGATGCCCCCTGACACTAGAAAGTCCATGCATGTATATTTTAAAAAAATAATAATGAGGTCAAGTTGCTATGGAGGAGTATAATGCGTAGAGATATTCTTCTTTTTGTCAAACTTCATTTTTTAAAAATGACCGTTAGATTATTAAGCAGGTTGAAATATCCATTTGTCATCTAGGATGCAATCCTAACAAGGGAACAAGCCCAATGGAACACCTGAAGAGCAAAAGATCTCATGTTCAGCTCTTGCACATGCACACACACACCCAGAAGGATTGTAGGTGTCAGGAAATGGTTGGGAGTGAGCCTGGAGAACCTCTGCCAGTCAGAGAGTAGGCCAGGGCCAGTGCAAATGTTTTGGACCTGGCCATTGGCCATGGTGGCTGCGGGCAATGGGAGCTGTAGTCCACAACATCTGGAGGACACCATGCTGCCTGGGTGGATAGACAATACTGGGCTAGACTGACCAAGGGGCTCATTCAGTATCTTGGGTGCAATAGATGCTCAGAAGAGTGAGAGGGAGTGGAGATCAGGCTGTTGTGCTCATGGCCAGCCTTTCTCCTTGTTGGGAGAAGTGTCTGCCTTTAGTGACCCACCAGAACAGGCACAAGACATCCCAATGAGAGTCTGCTCTGTAGTCAGTGGAGTTCCCCCGCACATGAAGCTAACATGAAGAGGGTTCAGATGACCACCCGTTTTGCATGCTGAGTGACAAGGCTGTGGGCGGACACCACCCCCTAACTGCAGCGGGGAGAGGGAGGGATGAGAGAATGCTTGAGAGTTGGTAGGGTGGGAGAAGAGCCAGTCCCAACAACAACTGGAGGGCCAAATTTTCCCCATTCCTAAGCTAAGCCAATCACAATTTGTTTTTGAAAGTGTTTCTCTGCTTTTCTGCTTGTTTTCAACTTGTATTTGCATTATTAGTTATCATCTTCGCAACTATGGATGTTTGCTACATGGATCTCCCAAGAGATGTGAATAACAGCAAGATCAAGACATGGTTTTAAGATTAGAATCAAGAAGTGGACCTCTTGACATAGCCTTAATGTTGCTCCCAAGTTGCTGTGTGAAGTAGAAGGCAAGTGATCAAATACAAGCAGGTATTTCACAGCTTTGGCTGCAGCAACTTCTGTTCTTTCTGTTGTAATGGAGTTGAGAAGATAAGGAGATCAGAGAATCGAAACAATTACCATTAAATTAAGAACAGGTGCACAATGACATGGGGAAAGGAAAACGCTATCAAGGTAAGAAGTTATTGGAACATAAAACCCAGTGAAAGATGTAAGGAAAAATGGGACTGTCAGCTGTTTACAACATTTATGACTTTTCCTGTCTTTATGGATCTGCCTTACGGGAGCCTGATATGGCTATTCTGCTTTGCCACCCTGCTTCTATAGAAGGTGACAGACAAGGATCAAGCAAATAAATATTTTTAAGTGTTCCTCTTTAGTCACAGAAATAGAATCTCTTCAAATAAATACCAAAGCTTATTTCTGTCTTAAACTTTGAAGAGAATATCTAAGTATACATAGCAAATAAATGCATAAAAATACTGCTTTAAACATGATCATTAAGTGGCATTGGTGAGCCAATTCAATGGCAACTAGCATTATTGCATTCTCTTGTTTTCAGCTGGGTCTTCTGAACTGGCTATCAGGGCAATTCTTTAACTTGAAAGGCAGAGAGCAGATTAGGATTATGTGCTTTACAGAGTCTGCTGGTTAATGTGTTGCTAAAGGATATAGCCTTTCCCCACTCTATCTGCAGCATGTCTACACTGTGGCTAGCACATAAGTCACAAGTCATTGTCACAGGTATTATTTATTCCAAAGCATATCATTTCCATCAGTGCAGTCTTCCCCTTCCAGAGAGAGGATGCATGCAGTGGTTTATGAGCCCCTAGATTATACCCTATTTATTTCCAGTATTTCCTCCCCCTGGCAGGTTACAACTGTAATGGAAAGGGAGGTTGGGAGAGCCTGCTTTTGCCCTTCCTTGCACAACTGTCTTGCAAGTAGACCACTTGTGTGCTAAAACTCTCCGGCAATTGCTGCCAGCACCACAGCTCTCAAAACCCTGGCAGGGCTGACCTGGGATGTTTTGCCACTAGAGGAAGATCCCCCCTCCCTCCTGCTGAGTCCCTGGCACCAGCCCCCCCCCCATTGCTATCGGGGGGGGGGAGGAGGCTGAAGGTGAGCTAGTGTGCAGCAGCAGGTAAGAGAGCAGGGCTTTTCTCCACAACATCCTTTTCTGCTCACAAAGCCGTTCTGGGGCCCTAAATAAGGCTGCATCAGGCTGTCGATTTCTGACCTTAAAACATGACATACCTCACAGCCAATTGAAGTTATGAAGGGTAAGGATGGCTGAAGGTCCAACACCCTAATTCAGTGTGAAAAGCCAAAAACCCAAACACAGGTGTAAGCAAGTGTGACAGAGTGGTTAGAAGGTGAGCCAAGGATGAGGATTAGGTTTAAGGCCACACCCAGTTATGATGCTGACGGGGTGATCTTAGGCTAATCTCTCTCTTCCTCCCTCCCCCCCCCTCCCTGACTCTGCCAACCTACCTCACAGGGATGTTGTGAGGGGAGAATATTGGAGGAAAGAGGATATATAAATGTGATACAAAATGCTGTCGGGCATTTACAGTTGTTTAATTTACTTACGTAATTGAATTCTGAGAAGGCACCTGGTTACAAGGCCCTCCACTGTGGCTATAGCCCCGTTTCACAGCAACAATGTCCACCCTAGGCTGCTGGCACATATATGTATTAATGAGAGAAAAATGCATCATTCTGAAATTCATGAAGTACCTTTTAAAATTCTCTTTCCTTTAGTTTTCTAAATCTCTACCTCCCAAATGGGTGTGGGATAGTTAAAAAGCCCTGGGAGGGAAGAGGGAAATGATTGAATAGGGTGCATTTCACTGCTTAAGTTGTATGCAGCAATGCCACAATTTATTTTTTATTTTTTTTAAAAAAACACTCCTGAAATTTCTATTTTAAAAACTGCTGAATGTGAAACGCAGCCATTTCCCCTCTCCCCCACCCCCATCCCTTATTTGTAATACCATCTTCTGACCAGGAGAGTGCACTTTTGGAAAGCAAATGGGCTGTAACATCATTTCGAACAGTTTATTCACTTGAGTAAATGCATTATTCACAGTCCACTAGTACTCTGTATTTCACTTCTCCTGAAAACGGGGAGTGGGGGGGGGATGCCTAGAAAGGCCTTTAGCTTGAAGCTTGAGCTTTAAACAAATTGCCGCTGGAGTGGTTTTATTCAGGCTAATTTTGGCCTCCTTGAAAAATGTCCAGGGTCCAGCTTTGAACTCCATCTGTAAGGTCACATACCAAGAGGTGTGAGAGCGGGAATTTTTGTCATAGTGCCTATTTGCTACATTTGGGGCACCATGATCCATGATTGTTAGGCGTGTGGCATTGAAACCAGACCTGAGGAGCCATCGCTCAGCGGCAGAGCATCTGCTTTGCATGCAGAAGGTCACAGGTTCAATCCCCAGCATCTTCAGGAAGGCAGGGAAGGAGGCCCTGGGAAGCCACTGCCACTCAGTGCAGAGAATACTGAGCTACATAGGTGGACCAATGGTCTGATTCAGTAGAAGTATTCCTCTTTGAGAGTATCATTTGACAGCAACTCAGGTGAGCTGTTTCAGTAGTTGGGTTTTGGGTTGTTACCCTCTGGGAATTTGGCACACTTAGGTGAACACAGAATCTTAAAAAAGACTGAGAGGTACTTAAAAAGAAAAGTTTGTTGCCCGTTTGCTGTCTCTGATGTCTTTGTTTACAAGCTTTTTTTAGACAAATGCTTCTATTGTAACTCAGGGAAGATTTCTTGGGGTCTGTACCCTTGGGTCAGATTACTTATCCTCATAGTTCAGCTATCCCTATTTACCAGAGACCATCCCGTTTTCTAGTAACTGTCCCTGGTGAATATAGGAATAGATCAATTCACGGAAGATTAACAATGGCATGATGGCTCTATGACTTCCAGTATCAAAGGCAGTATTATTATTATTATTATTAGAATTTACCGTATTTTTCGCCCCATAGGACGCACCGCCCTATAGGACGCACCTAGTTTTTTTTGGGGGGGGGGAAATAAAGAAAAAAAAATTATTTCCTCCCCCCAGGCACGGGGCTGGTGCAGGGGAAGCCCGAGCTTCCCCCGACCCCAGCCCCCAGAAGAGCCTGCTATCCGCAAGCCTAGGGAGCCGCGCCGGTCTACCCAGGCTTGCGGACAGCTGTGCGAAGCCCGGGCGCGCTGAGGCTTCCTAATGCAGGCAGCTCTGCGCAACCCTCTGGAGGCCGGCACGGCTTGGCGCTGGGCTCCGGAGGGTCGCGCAGAGCTGCGCGGACCCCGGGAGGGCAGGCAGCTCTGCGCGACCCTCCGGAGGCCAGCGCAGCTTGGCGCCGGGCTCCGGAGGGATGCACAGAGCTGCACAGAGCCCGGGAGGGCAGGCAGCTCTCCGCAACCCTCCGGAGGCCGGCGCAGATTAGCGCCGGGCTCCGGAGGGCCGCGCAGAGCTGCACGGAGCCCAGGAGGTGCTGGGCTCCGGAGGCTTGGCGCCGGGCTCCGGAGGGTGGCGCAGAGCTTCCTGAAGCCTGTATTCGCCCCATAGGACGCACCCACATTTCCCCTTCATTTTTGGAGGGGACAAAGTGCGTCCTATAGGGCGAAAAATTCGGTATATACCGCCCTATACCCAGAGGTCTCAGGGCGGTTCACATAAAAAGTTCACAGTATATACAATAAAAATAAAAGCAATAACCCAATAATACCCCCCCAAAAAAAGAGTCCCATTTTAAAAGGGTATGGATGTTGATCAGGTCAACCAAAGGCCTGGTTAAAAAGGAACATTTTTGCCTGGCGCCTAAAGGTGTATAACGAAGGCGCCAGGCGAACTTCCCTGGGGAGAGCATTCCACAGGCGGGGAGCTACTGCAGAGAAGGCCTGTTCTTGTGTTGTGTTCCGGACCTCTGAAGGAGGCGGCACATGAAGGAGAGCCTCAGAAGATGATCTCAGGCTCCGGGTAGGTTCATACAGAAAGAGGTGGTCCTTGACTGCCAGTTCCTGGGTTTAGTGAGTAGGTGAGTGGCATTTCCCCCATGTTCTGCTGCTGGTGGGCCACTGTAGGAACAGACTGCAGCACTATGTAGGCATTTGCTCTGATCCAGCAGGGCTATTCTTAAACCCTCCCAGATGACCATCCAGCCTTCAATATCTTCCTGTGAAGAAGAGCCTACCGCCTCCCAAGGCAGACCATTCCACTGTCAAGCAGTACTTTAAGGAAATTTTGCCCAAAGTTTAGCTGGTCTGCTTTCCTGCTATTTTTCTTCACTGCTTTCTTCTGATTTTTATTTTTCTTCTGATTTCCCAGAAGACTCGAGCCTTAGCAAACTACAACTTCTCCTTACAAATTCAGTGCTGTCCTTCTCTTTAAGGTATGAAGACATGTAAGTCCAAATTTTTATTATAGTGTTCTGTTCCACATCTGCCCAAGGAGCAGTGTTATTGTGATGCCACTATGCTAAAAATGGGGACATGCATTTCTTAAGCTTCAGCTTAAGCACCAGCAGATGGCCACCTTGGATAAGATTTCAAGACTGAAAAGACGCTGACTCTAACAGAAATGTTGTAAGGCTTGAGTGTGCACAACAGAACCAAACTATGAATGTTATTTACATTCAAATTCGTGTGATTGTGATAATTTATTTGGGTTAAATTTAGACAAGCTCTTGTTATTTCTCTGAACTCTTGAGAGATAATGGGGATCTACAATACACCCTAACCCAGCCTTACCCAACCTGATGCCTTCCGGTCATTTTAGACTGCAACTCCCATAATTCCTGACTATTGGCCATGCTGGCTGGGGCTGATGGAAGTGGAGCCCAACAACACCTGGAGGGCCACGAGTTTCCTATTCCTGGATTAGACATCTGGGTAATAAATAGCTCATTTTAAAATAAGTTGCATTCATTCATGTGGATAAAACCCTACAGAACTGCAGTCCTGCTAGGACTGAATTAAGCATTTTCAGTGACTCACAGTTCTTTAATATCATGAAGCTCTCATAAATGCACTTTGTAATAATAATAATAATAATAATAATAATAATAATAATGGCAGAGGGTAAGCTTTTTGAAGCTCTTATTGTGTGGAAATTACCTTCTGTGGTTTGCTTCAGTTTACCCACATGACCATTCTCATCACTTGGATTTTTGTTCTGTAATCTGAAGATCTGAGATGATGAAACCTGAAAGAAGTCACCAAGAACCCCAATATTTTGCTCGAGTTGGTGCCTGCACCTCCAAGTGAGCTCTGTATAGTTGTGAACGAATGGGCTGGGTACCGCTGTCAAGGTTGCCAAAGCCAATAGCTTCCACCAGCAATTAGATTCACCATCCCTGAACTAAAAATAGATCCGTTGTCCTGGAGAAGACTGTGACCTTGACTGTTATGAGAGAAAGTGCTTTGCTCTGAGGGCTTGTTTGCATGATGATTTGTTCAAGGCTAACGACAGTGTAGCATCAGATTAATTTACATTATATAGAGCTGTATGTGAGGCTGAAACCAATGAAAGGGGAGGGAAAGATGCCAAAGATAACGAAGGCATGTTGCTTGTTCATTTCACCTGGGGAAAACTATCGGTGCTGGTTAAAAGGTCACAGGGCTGTGTGGAACTACATTCTGGGGGCCCTTATGTCTGGTATCTGCATCCCATGATACTTGTGTCGGCACACAGCAATGCTAGTCATGCACAGCTAAGATTTGTCACAGTAAGCATAAGATCAGAAGGAAATCCTGAGTCTCATCTCAGCTGACTCCCAGTACTTAAATTTCCCTACAGCTCAGAGCATAGTCAACAGTCCTGTTATCATATGACAAGAAAAGAGCCACCATGTTTTGCAGGATGTACAATTAAAAGGAAAAAGAAAACTCCAATGTGATGGCCCTGACCACAGTGACTTTGAACTTTATCGGAATTGGTTCCAACTGATGATCATCTGTAGAGAACTCAGGTAAAGGAGATGCTCAAGTTTCAAGTAGATGCACAGCTTGCACACCTCTTTCTCCTGCCCCACACTCCACACAGCAAAGAATAAGAATATGAAAAAGAATACATTATTTATATCCTGCCCATCTGGCTGGGCCTCCCCAGCCACTCTGGGCAGCTCCCAAACAGAATATATAAAAAAGCAACAAAAATCAAACATTTAAAACTTCCCTAAACAGGGCTTCCTTCAGATGTCTTCTAAAAGTCAGATGGTGGCAGGCGCCACCACCGAGAAGGCCCTCTGCCTGGTTCCCTGTAACCTCACATCTCGCAGTGAGGGAACCACCAGAGGGCCCTCGGAGCTCGACCTCAGTGTCCAGGCAGAACAATGTGGGTGGAGACGCTCCTTCAGGTATACTGGACAGAGGCCATTTAGGGCTTTAAAGGTCAGCACCCACACTTTGAATTCTGCCCGGAAATGTACTGGGAGCCAATGTAGGTCTTTCAGGACCTTTGCCATTGCACAAGCAACCCAAGCAATTGTTTGGGGTGGCCATACAATCAGTGGCACCAACAAAGCAGCATGTGATCAGAGAGCATTGTCTGAAACGTTGCACTTGGCACAGGATGGTGGCAACATTCCTGAGCTAGCCAGATGTGCTGCATTGTTGGATAAATAAATGTTCCTCTCCATTCTTCATCATCCTAGAGAGGGTACCCATAATCCTTGGGATCACAACAAAATTGACTGGCAGGGCAGACTAGATGCAGGTCAGAGACAAGAAAGCACAGTTTCACGGGTGGGGGAACTTTTTCATCCTGAGGGCCATATTCCCTGCTGGACAACCTTTTGAAGGGCCACATGATAGTGAAGGGTGGAGTCAGAAGAGCAAACATGGCTGGCACAACGGATGTAAAGATCTCATTTGTACAATAGCCTAGTTTGTACAAACCCTTCTCTATCCTTCACCCAGAGAAGCAAGAGGCAATATCAAAGTTCAAGAACACCTTCCAAGCAAGCAAAGTTACTCATACAAAGGCAGGGCAAGTGAGGGGCAGAGTTTGCAGAGAGTTCCCAGGGCCAGAGGGTCTTTGGTTCCCCGCCCCTGTGCAATATATTTGTGGTATAAGCTATTAGAAGATCTGGTGGTGGCCACTGACTAAGATGCATGTGAAAGAGGCTTAGGACAAATTCATGGAGGGCAGGTCTGTCAATGGGTGTTAGATATGGCCCATACAGTTCAATGAAACCTCTGAATTCAGATGGCAGCTTTTCTCTGAATACCAGTTGCCAGTAGGAAAACACTGAGAAGCATAGGATTCTCAAAAGTATCTCATTTGTCACTGTTAAGAGGCAGGCTGCTGGACTTAGCAGGTTCTTATTCAGAGGGGCTCTTATTATGGTCTTATTTGGCTTCCTTTCATGGAAGCAATCATTGTACACACAGATAATTCGCAGACATGAACAAACAAATCCAGCCTCTAAAATACAAGAACCAAAAGGATAAATTGAGAG